TTTTTTTTTTTTTTTTTTTAAAGTGCTTTATCCAGCCCACTTCTATGTAGAAAGTCGGCCAGTTGTTTGTATGTGGCAGGCAGTTTTGAAAGAAGAATCTGTTTGAAATTTTGGTAGTTTCGGAAAAGAGAATTATCATTACGTAAGTTGTTATATTTGATACAATCAAATATGAGGTGTTCAGGAGTTTCTTTTATGTTGCATGCGCTGCAATTGTCTGATCTGTAATGCTGAAATTTGGTTAAATAAGTGCTACCGTACGTATGTCCAGTAGCAATTCTGTTAAAAAGTTTTATGTCGTGTGCTTCTAAGTCTACATTTTTGTTTTTAAACCATGGCTGTTTTTCTTTGGGCGTGCAAAATTCTACTATGTCCGGGTCCCAGTTTGGAAGTTTGTTGGTAAATTCTTGTTTGGCTTCAGTCCACAACATTTTGCTAATCCTTCTCAGTGCTTCACAAGGTGTGAGTTTTGGGGGTAAAGATTTACCATGGTCAACTGCTGTTTTTGCTGCTATATCCGCTTTTTCATTTATGGTTATACCCACATGGCTAGGTGTCCAGACTATTGCAATGTTTTCTATTTGGGAGTGATAAAGTTTGTTATGGATTTCAGCTACTAGGAAATTGTGTGTGGTGCGGCTTTTTAGGGCCTTAATTGCACTCTGACTGTCTGTAAAGATTGCTACTTTTTTACTATCATTATTAATGGCTATCGTGATTGCTTGAGAAAGTGCTACTAGCTCACCGTAAGTTGATGTGAAGTTTCCATCTATATTGAACAGGTATGAGACGTTAGCCGTTACCACATAGACTGCACAGCCAATTTTGTTATCTGACACCGATGCATCAGTGGCATACACTTTGAAACCTTCCTCTTTTAGCGTGTTTATTTTTTGGTTGTAGATAGCTCTGAGTTGTGTAGGGGTAACGTTCTTTTTGGACTGGGCCAATTCTGATTCGTAGCAGGTGAGGTTATGGTGTCTTTTGAAAGCTACATTTGTATCTATGGTGTTGATAATTGCTTTAAATTTTTCGTACGTTATGCTGTAGCTGGAATTTATGGGAGGTCTGTTCTGGATCTGTGTTCTAAGTTCAGGATTGATCAACCACTGTTTGACAAGTTCCTTGGCCGTAAGCCATACAGCTCTGGGAAGAGGTGGAAGTTCACAAGCCAGCGCGTATCTCATGAGTGTTGGAGTGTTTGGAGGAACTCCGAGGCATCTCCTCAACGTTTCATTTAAATTGGTTTGTAGCTGCTTGTTATACCCTTTAGGGGCATTTGCATAACTGGTGTTGGCATATTCTGCTTTGGATCGTACAAACGCTTTAAAAAGATTTATAGAAGTTTTAGGTGAAATACCTGACTTGATAGATGTTAATTTAGAAATAAGGTTTTTACCTGAAGTTGTTGCTTTTTTAATTTCACTAATGTGTACCTTAATGGTTGAGTTCGCGCTAATTGTTCTTCCCAGCCATTTGAAGTGGTGGACTTGTTCTATGTTTAGGCCGTTGATGGATACACTAAAGGTTTGTTTATTGTTTGCAGACATATACATGAATTTTGTTTTGTTCGGATTAAATTTGAGATTTAAGCTGTCGCATTTTGCCTGTAATTCTTCTATTTTGTTTTGTAAATTTAGAGCTGCAGAGAATCTGTTTGTGCCAGTGGATATTAACGCAAGATCGTCGGCAAACTGAAATAGTTGAGTCTGAGAGTTATTAATTTCGTGCAGTTGGGCTGTATAAATATTGAATAGCGTTGGGGAAAGGCAGCTACCTTGAGGTAGGCCAGAGTTTACCTCAACAGTGTGATTACCTAGGGTCAGATGTCTTTTAGAAAAGTAGTTGTTAATCCAGTTTGCAATTGTTGGGTCAATGTTGCATTGTAGAAGAATATTATGAAGTGAAACAAGATCTACTCTATTATAGGCGTCCGACATATCTAAGAAACAAATCATAGCATATTCCCTACATTTCTTTCTATCTGCTATAAGGTGTAGCATTTCGTTAATGCACATTGTTGCTGATCTCATTTTTCGATAGGCGTAGCTCTTCTTGGGAAGTCTATTGCTTGTCTCCAGGAACTCGTTCAGCGATTCTTTCACCATCATATTAATGCTCTTTACTACGACAGATATGAGTGAAATGGGTCTAAAGTTATTTATGTCCTCAGTGTTTTTGTTTGCTTTCGGTATTGGAATTACCTTTATTTGTCTCCATGCGTCTAGGACCCTGTTGCTGTAAAAATGTTCTTTTAGGGCGTCTAATAACGACTGTTTGGACTCAGTGGACAATTGCTTTAATGTATTAAACGTAATTCTGTCGAAACCCCCAGCAGTCGATTTTTTTTTGCTAATAAATTTTCGAATCTGCTGTATGAAAAGTCAACGCTGTTGTTGGCATTTACTGATGCAGCGGTGGTTGGAGTGATGACATTACAAGGGTTGCTGGCTTGTTGGGCTTGATTCCTTATCAGTTCTAAGTAGTTTCGGTCATCTTCAGCTGCCCAATTGTGAGACGCGCGCTTATTGCCTTTGACATTTCTTATGAATTTCCAAGCCTGTGTCGAGTTGGGGCAAGTGTTTATCTCCTCAATTTTACTGTTGTAGCTCGCTTTCTTTGCCGCCTTCACCGCTTCTTTCCAGTCACTAGTTGCTATAATTGAGGCTTCCATGTCTTCAACATTGTTAGTATGATTAGCTTTTTTGCGTTTAGCGACATGTAATCTGTACAGTTTTTTGAGGTCATCACTCCACCAGTTTTTAGGGGTACGCCTGGATGTGTTCAAGTCAATTTTAATCCTGTTCCTAACGCTGTCTATTTCTGTCGTGATATTTTCTAAGTCAGAGAATTTTAACTGAGCAAGTTCCTGGGCGAGTCGTTCCTTGGGGATGAAATAGTTGGGCTTTTTGCTGCTATTAGTGACCTCAACGATGATGGGGAAATGCTTGCTGCCTCCCAAATGGACTTGTTGACAGTGCCATTTTGTGTAACTGCTGTTAATGTTGGTCAGAGTTATGTCAATTGCCGTTCCTGCACTGTTACCGGTGCGGTGAGTGATTGCTCCACTGTTGATGCACTGTAGATTGGTGTTCCTGATTTCGTCAACAACTATTTTTCCTTTGGTGTTGCATATTCTGTCTCCCCACACTTGATGCCTAGCGTTGAGGTCTCCTGCTATAATAACGTTTTCATGATTGTTAAGAAAAAGTACTACACGGTTCAGTTCGTTAGTAAAATTTAAAGTGTCAAGGTTGGGAGGAAAATAAATATTGCAAATAGTTAAATTATTAATAAGATTAATCGTCTTGGCTATTAGAATGTCGTAATTTGAAACAAATTTGATTTTCGTGAATTTTATACCTTTTTTAAATCCGATTCCTACGCCACCATATCCATCGATTCTAGTCTTTCTGAGTAAGTTGAAGTTCATTAAATTGTGTTGAGTTGTATGGTTGTCATGCGAAAAAATTTCCTGGAGGCAGACTATATCAATGTTATTACTAGTGTTAAAGAAGTCTACATAGTTTTTATTACTTTTGAGGCTTTGTACGTTATATTGTAATATTTTTATTGGACTTGTCATCTTTGTTACTTGGAGTTTTGTCTTCAATGTGTACTGCGCCTATATTGCGAATTAGGTTAACCAAGGGGTCATTAACGTCAATGTCGTACCTTTTTATAAGGAGATTTACAAGCTTTTCAATCTCTGTGACCTTGGACCAATTCGGCATTTCATAGACGGGTTGTGTTTTGGTTGTAGCTTTCGGCAAGATTTTGGAATGGTTAGGTGTAGCTGTTGTGTGGGTTTGATGATTTCTAACTACATAATTGTATTTATATGTAGTGAGTTTTCTATTTACTGTTTCATCATTGTTGATTCTTGCTGTACTTTTTGCTTCTAACTGTGGAAAATTTCCCTCATAGTTTTCTAGAGCTGAGAAACGGTTATTATTGTTTAAATTGTACATCCCAATCGCCTCAGACTTAGATACTTTTTTTATTGTCATAATTTCGACCACCTGTTTTTCTCTGGCCCATTTTGAACATTTCCTGCTCTCGAGTGAATTGTGATTATCCCCTCCGCATAGTATGCACGAATTTGTGGTTTCATTGCATTTACTACTACAGCCCTCTGCCTTGCCACAGATAATGCATCTGTTGGCTGCTCTGCAGGCCATTTTTGTGTGCCCTAGTCTGCCGCAGTTGTAACAATGCCTAACTCTAGGAATGTAGTGAACCATTTTGATTTTTACGCAAAAAATGTCTATGGTTTCTGGTAGTTCGTTGCCTTCAAAACTTATTTTCACAGAGAGAGTTGGAATGAACTTCTCTTTGTCATTGGGATCTCTTCTGGTAATTCTTGAGATAGCTGTAACAGGAATATCTGAAATGATATTTTCTTTTATTTCTTCCTCAGTGAAGTTAAGAGGTATTTGTCTAGCAACACCAGTTGTTTCTACCAAGCTTCTTGGTATAAAGGGTCGCATTTGATTTTTAATTAAGTCGGGATTGCTAACGCACTTGTTTGCAGCTTCAAAATTTTCAAAAAAAATTTTGTAGAGTGATCTACCTATGGCTTTTATGTTTTTAATCCCCTCAATATTAAAATGTCTTATAATATCCCAAAGGAATAGGCCATTGCGCATTTTTTCGTTGTTTATCGTGTTGGATTTTGATGTGTCCACCAGAACGCAATAATCTCCCCTGTGCCTTTTTGTATAGCACACACTGTCCATGTGTTCTTTTTCTTTTTCCCTGTTGTTCGCACCTTTGCTTTTTGTCGCACGTGTTTGTT